AAAAAAAAATAAAAAAAAAAAAAAGGAAAAAGAAAAGAAAAAAATAAAGGAAAAGAAAAAGAAAAGGAAAGGAAAGGGAAAAAAAGAAAAGAAAAGAAAGGTAGAAAGAAAAAAAAAAAAAAAAAAAAGGAGGAGGAGGAGGGAAAAGGGGCTTTAAAGCGGGGAAAATCGCTTTGCGGGGCTGCTGCCGGGACACGCACCTACCTGAGGAGCGCGGGCACCGTTCGGTGATTGCAGCCGTATGAAAGCAAAAGGAACGGACCCAACGGACCCCACGGACCCCCACGGCCCGGCGCTGCCCGAGGGGACACGGCCGGAGCGGGGCTCGGTCCCCGTACGCCCGCATCGACGGCGGCGGGGACGGGAGGAGCCGCGCTGCTCCTCGGCTCCTTGCGCCAAAACAAACCGGCCCCTCCTGGTCTGGGTTTAAATGGAGCTCACGGGATAATTAACTCCATCTTTGCAGCCCCGCTTTAACTGTTTGTTTAGTGTCACCCCGTATTACCGTCACCGGCACTTTCCTCTGAACGGGAGGAGCCGGAGGGCTTCACCTCCCCGGAGGAAATTCTTGGGAGCTTAAAAACAAAACAAAACAAAAAAAAACCATATCAAAATAAAAAATAAAACTCAGAGTCTCCCGGAGGTCCGTCAGCAGCGGGGAAACGGGGTGCGGGAGGAAAGCCGGGGGGACGGACGGGATGCACGGCCGCCTGCTCCCCTTTAATCCGTAGAAGTGAACGGAGAAAGGGCCTTTTGTGGCCCGGCCCGGGGTGCGTCCCGGCCAGAGGGGCACAGGGGGAGCGCTGTGCAGGGAGAGGGGTCGTAACCCCCTCCCCCCCCCCCCGATCATCCCAAGGCCCCCCGTTAAAAAAATAGAATAATACGGGGGGAGAGGGAGGGAGAGGCGACACAAATCCTTATTGTTCGGGGCGAGCCGGCAGCGGGCTGTCTCCCTGCGCATTCGGCGGGGAAGGCAGCGCGGATCCGGTATCACGTTGCAGATTCTCACTAAAGATAACGAAATGTGATCTATTTTTCAGAACAGCAAGTGGATGGGAAAGGAGCCCTCTCCAACACAAACCTCATTGACTAATGGGGCGGTTTTGGGTTTCGCCTCCGAAAGGTTCGGAAATCGGCAGCGTTCTGTTACCGCCCGCCCGGCTCCAGCCCAGAGCCCGCGGCTCTTATCGGACACCGCTCCCAGCGCTGCCTTCTGCTGCTCCTCTTCCCCAGAAACCCTCACTTTAAAAATACATAGAGATCTTTAGGTTTACTTTTTAGGTTTATTTCTATTTCGGATGGGCAGAGGGGGCCGTGTTTTCTATGTTTTCTGTACTTCTTTTTTTTTTTTTCTTTTCTTTTTTTTTTTTCCGGCGAAATCGGCAAAAAACGGCCGAGCGCTGCCCCGGCTCTGTCCCCATCCCTGCTCCGCATCGAATAAACCCGCGGAGATTTCCGCTCCTGCGCAAAGAGCGGAGCCAGGTTGAGCCCGATCCATACGGCACAGAATCGCTCCAGTCGCTGTTCGGCCGTTCGCTTCGAGCTCCGTTCTTTTGCTTTTATTCGAGCGCTTCGAAACCATTTCTCGTCTGAATTTATGGGGCTAAACGGAGCGTGAGGTTCGGAAATCCGTGCCGTTTTACTTCTTTCGCAAGGTTTGAAGCGAAAACTTTTTTGTAGGAAAAGCAGGCGGTATCGCACAGGGCTGGGAGCTGCCCCGTGGGCACAGCCCCGTTCGATCCGCGGGCGCTGTGGGGCGCGGAGCGGTGCGGCCCCGCTCGAGGCTGAGCCCCAGCGTTCGGGGTCGGCCTTAGGAAGGGACTGGCAGGGAGAAGCCGCTCTCGTTACAAAAAAAAAAAAAAAAAAGGGCTCCCCACGGCCCCGCTTTGCCTCCTTCACCCCTCAGGTCTGTGCTTCCCAAATGTTCTTGGAAAAATAACAAGAGGAACGCATCGTAATAAAGGGAAAGGGGTGGGGAGCGCGTCCCGGGCTCGGTGCGGCCGTGGCACCGCTCCTGCGGGAGGCTCCGAGCCCACCGCTGTAATTCTGCGCACTTGCTCCAGACTTTAGGGTATTAGTTGGTGTTAGAGCCGGGTTTAAGGCTCCGTTCCGGTCCCCACGCAGCTGCCTTGTCAATAAGGATCTGTTCCAAGCAGACATTCCTTCTGGGAGGACACTGCAGCTCTTTAAGACTTCATCTGCAACATTACAAGCACTAAAATAAAATGGAAGGGAAAATTAGCAGACACGCGGTCAGGGGACGCGGCGGTGCCCGAGCGGTGCGGAGCGGACAGGCGGGCGGCAGCGCCTTATTTAACCGCCCCGAAAGGAGCAAGACGTGGGAAAAACAACCACCGAGACATGGGGGGACGGCGGCGGGGCCTGCAGCCGGGGTGCGGCGGGAGGGACCCGGCCGGGTCCAGCCGGAGGGTTCGGGGCCGGGTATCGGGTACGGGGATGGGGATGGGGCAGCGGGAGCACAGCCGGCCACGGCTTGTAGTCCTCCCCGGCCCGGCCGCGCGGAGCTTACGAGGGAATAAATCAGCTCGCTCTCGGAGAAGACAAACAGGTTTTCAAGAGCCCCTCGATTGTTCTCAGAACCCACGGAGTGAGCCCAAACGCCGGCCGGAGGGTGCTCAAAGCGCAGTGCTCCGCTTATCTCAGCGCGTATAAACACTGCCATAAAGACACCCTCATCCACGCCCTTATCTCAGCGCATTGTCCCCATCTCCCAGCCCGCCCAGGCTCCCGACGGCAGCTTATCTCTGCTTGGGGAACCTAATTGCTTTCTAATTTTTGCAGTAATTGCTTTGGAGCGAGGTGTGCAGATGAGGATTTGGGCGAATGAAAGCGCCGCCGCTGTTTTTTCTCTTCCCCCTTCCCCGAGGGCAGCTCCAAGGGCGCTCTCTCCCGACCTGAGCGGTCCCGGCCCGGACCCCCCCAGGCTGAAGGGGAAGGCGGAGAGGTGCGGGGGGGGGGGGGGGGGGGCGGGGCCCCCCTCTGCTAACCCCCCCCGAAAGC